GGGGGGGGGGGGGGGAGGGTGACACCATAATTTGGTTTTGTAACGGCAGATGGGAGCAATGCAAACAAGCAACCATGCAAAACTGTAGCAGCTGATGTGGGAGGAGTTAACCTAACAATAACATTTTCCATTTGCCGCATGAATATTTGTTTGATCAAATACCAGAGAAGTAGCAATGAGAAGCTGCATCCTATAGCATGTCATAAAAAGATGAAGGTAAATATGTGGAAAGACACCCGCGAGCAGATTGAAGACTACAGTCACGGCCTCACCTTGTACTTGCGAAAGGCTGTCTGAATAACACGGGCTGCCTCGTAGAGCTCCCGCTGCTCGTGGTCCGAGAGGGTCAGCAGAGCAAACTCGCTCTCCATCCGTCCGCTGCTTGAGGCACTGAGGAACTCGGACCATCTGGCTGCGCCGGGAGGGTCAAACCGCTCAAAGGAAATTTCTCCCAAGGGAGGAGGAGTTGTGGGGGACGGTGGAGCCTCGGACCTAACAATATAGAAGGATGACATGTTCCCGAGGTCCGCAAAACCATTCATGCAACACGAGAGCTACAAATGAGCTCCATACCTGGTCACTTTGACGCGTAAGCCCTCCATGGACCTTCTGTTCACCCGTTTGCTTCTCTGCCCAAAGGCTCCGACGTCGGAGTGTGACCCCAGGCTGCTTCCGTCCTCTCCTGGGCTCATCTGAGCAAAGCGAGCCAAGGCACGGGCTGCCCGCATCCCCTCTCTGTACGGAGAAACCAAAAGGTTAGCGTTGAAGTAAAACTTTACAGCACGTTTCAGTTATGATTAATCTTTCTCTTATGACTAGGGATGCACCGATACCGGTATTGTGTACCGATATTTTTTTTTTCAGGACTCGCCGATACCGGGAGTCCCTTTCAGGAAGCCTGGTGGCTTGTAATGACTCGCCACACGGCTTCCCGATTAGCAGGGAAGACGCCCCCATGCTTCTCGACGAGAAAGCATGGAGCCGGCTTTCTGGCCAATCAGGAAGCCAGGCGCCGTGTAATGATGCGGCGCCTGGCCTCCTGATTGATTGGCCGGGAAGCCGGCTCCATGCTCCCTCGCCATGAGGTGACGAGGGAGCATGAAGCCGGCTTCCCAGCCATTCAAAAAGCCGGGCACCGCGTCATTACACAGCGGCCGGCTTCCTGATTGGTAAGCTTCCCATGTCAATCAGGAAGCCGGGCACCGCGTCATTACACAGCGGCCGGCTTCCTGATTGGTAAGCTTCCCAGGCCAATCAGCAAGCCGGGCAGCGCGTCATTACACAGCGGCCGGCTTCCTGATTGGTAAGCTTCCCAGGCCAATCAGCAAGCCGGGCAGCGCGTCATTACACAGCGGCCGGCTTCCTGATTGGTAAGCTTCCCAGGCCAATCAGCAAGCCGGGCAGCGCGTCATTACACAGCGGCCGGCTTCCTGATTGGTAAGCTTCCCAGGCCAATCAGCAAGCCGGGCAGCGCGTCATTACACAGCGGCCGGCTTCCTGATTGGTAAGCTTCCCAGGCCAATCAGAAAGCCGGGCAGCGTGTCATTACACGCTGCCCGGCTTCCTGATTGGCCGGGCAGCCGTCTTCATGATCTCTTGTCACAAGTGACGTGGGAGCATGGACCCGGCTTCCCGGCCAATCAGGAAGCTGTGCAGCGTGTAAAGACAATCCTGGAAGTATCAGGCTAGGCATCGGAGCATTTGGGCGAGTACTCATACTCGCCGAAATACTCGGCATCGGCACCAATACTAGTATCGGTATCGGTGCATCCCTAGCTATGAATGTTTGATTATCAAGACCACAATTCTAAGGGCAGGTTCCCACCGTTTTCCGGACCAGACCTGGTCCAGATTAGGTCTAGAAAATGGTGTGAACCAGCACGCAGTTTCAGTGCATTCCAGACCAGACAAAATGAGACATGCGTTATTTCTCTGGTCTGGAACGGACTGCGCTGGTGTGAACAGAGAAATAGCAGAGGGACACATTAGAATGCATTGTGGTCCGGAAACAATCTGGTCTGGTGATGACCTGGATGTGGTGTGAATGGGCCCTCGATGTAGAAGTTTTAAGTAGTCATGGACAACAGTGAGATGGCTTGATAACAAAAATGTTTTAGGCCCTTTGGCAACCTGGCTCCTGAGCTTTGTCTGGCGCTGCAGTAAAGGAAGTCTCATCACAAATGCTAGTTGCTTGTACAGCTGCATGCGGGTCCACGTTATATGACAAGTTCAAATGCAAATGGAATTTTTTTTCTTAAAGGAGAACTATGAGGTCAGTGTTTTTCCCCATAGTTCTCCTTAGGGTAACAGGAGTACACAAACTAGCGTCCTCCCGTCACCCTAAGCTCAGTATATAGAGAGCTACAGCTCGCGGTATACTGAGACGCTGCAGCGGATCCCGACTTAGACGACGGGATCCGCCCAGCTGCGTGAGTGACAGCTGGCTCTGCCTATAGTACCGCCCCCCCCCCCCGTCCGTTCTGCCAGTCAGCGCTGGCGGATCGGAGCGGAGGGAATCCAGCCCCTCCCCTGTCACGGCAGAGAGCCGTGACAGGATCGAGAAGTGAGCGAACGCCGGTATGTGTTCGCTCACCTCCTGATCTACTCAGCCGACCTGTGACAGTCTCATTGTCACAGGTCGGCTAGAACTATGAGGTGAGTGAAAAGCACTCACCTCATAGTAGGCCGGCTTCCTGATTGGTAAGCTTCCCATGTCAATCAGGAAGCCGGGCACCGCGTCATTACACAGCGGCCGGCTTCCTGATTGGTAAGCTTCCCATGTCAATCAGGAAGCCGGGCACCGCGTCATTACACAGCGGCCGGCTTCCTGATTGGTAAGCTTCCCATGTCAATCAGGAAGCCGGGCACCGCGTCATTACACAGCGGCCGGCTTCCTGATTGGTAAGCTTCCCATGTCAATCAGGAAGCCGGGCACCGCGTCATTACACAGCGGCCGGCTTCCTGATTGGTAAGCTTCCCATGTCAATCAGGAAGCCGGGCACCGCGTCATTACACAGCGGCCGGCTTCCTGATTGGTAAGCTTCCCATGTCAATCAGGAAGCCGGGCACCGCGTCATTACACAGCGGCCGGCTTCCTGATTGGTAAGCTTCCCATGTCAATCAGGAAGCCGGGCACCGCGTCATTACACAGCGGCCGGCTTCCTGATTGGTAAGCTTCCCATGTCAATCAGGAAGCCGGGCACCGCGTCATTACACAGCGGCCGGCTTCCTGATTGGTAAGCTTCCCATGTCAATCAGGAAGCCGGGCACCGCGTCATTACACAGCGGCCGGCTTCCTGATTGGTAAGCTTCCCATGTCAATCAGGAAGCCGGGCACCGCGTCATTACACAGCGGCCGGCTTCCTGATTGGTAAGCTTCCCATGTCAATCAGGAAGCCGGGCACCGCGTCATTACACAGCGGCCGGCTTCCTGATTGGTAAGCTTCCCATGTCAATCAGGAAGCCGGGCACCGCGTCATTACACAGCGGCCGGCTTCCTGATTGGTAAGCTTCCCATGTCAATCAGGAAGCCGGGCACCGCGTCATTACACAGCGGCCGGCTTCCTGATTGGTAAGCTTCCCATGTCAATCAGGAAGCCGGGCACCGCGTCATTACACAGCGGCCGGCTTCCTGATTGGTAAGCTTCCCATGTCAATCAGGAAGCCGGGCACCGCGTCATTACACAGCGGCCGGCTTCCTGATTGGTAAGCTTCCCATGTCAATCAGGAAGCCGGGCACCGCGTCATTACACAGCGGCCGGCTTCCTGATTGGTAAGCTTCCCATGTCAATCAGGAAGCCGGGCACCGCGTCATTACACAGCGGCCGGCTTCCTGATTGGTAAGCTTCCCATGTCAATCAGGAAGCCGGGCACCGCGTCATTACACAGCGGCCGGCTTCCTGATTGGTAAGCTTCCCATGTCAATCAGGAAGCCGGGCACCGCGTCATTACACAGCGGCCGGCTTCCTGATTGGTAAGCTTCCCATGTCAATCAGGAAGCCGGGCACCGCGTCATTACACAGCGGCCGGCTTCCTGATTGGTAAGCTTCCCATGTCAATCAGGAAGCCGGGCACCGCGTCATTACACAGCGGCCGGCTTCCTGATTGGTAAGCTTCCCATGTCAATCAGGAAGCCGGGCACCGCGTCATTACACAGCGGCCGGCTTCCTGATTGGTAAGCTTCCCATGTCAATCAGGAAGCCGGGCACCGCGTCATTACACAGCGGCCGGCTTCCTGATTGGTAAGCTTCCCATGTCAATCAGGAAGCCGGGCACCGCGTCATTACACAGCGGCCGGCTTCCTGATTGGTAAGCTTCCCATGTCAATCAGGAAGCCGGGCACCGCGTCATTACACAGCGGCCGGCTTCCTGATTGGTAAGCTTCCCATGTCAATCAGGAAGCCGGGCACCGCGTCATTACACAGCGGCCGGCTTCCTGATTGGTAAGCTTCCCATGTCAATCAGGAAGCCGGGCACCGCGTCATTACACAGCGGCCGGCTTCCTGATTGGTAAGCTTCCCATGTCAATCAGGAAGCCGGGCACCGCGTCATTACACAGCGGCCGGCTTCCTGATTGGTAAGCTTCCCATGTCAATCAGGAAGCCGGGCACCGCGTCATTACACAGCGGCCGGCTTCCTGATTGGTAAGCTTCCCATGTCAATCAGGAAGCCGGGCACCGCGTCATTACACAGCGGCCGGCTTCCTGATTGGTAAGCTTCCCATGTCAATCAGGAAGCCGGGCACCGCGTCATTACACAGCGGCCGGCTTCCTGATTGGTAAGCTTCCCATGTCAATCAGGAAGCCGGGCACCGCGTCATTACACAGCGGCCGGCTTCCTGATTGGTAAGCTTCCCATGTCAATCAGGAAGCCGGGCACCGCGTCATTACACAGCGGCCGGCTTCCTGATTGGTAAGCTTCCCATGTCAATCAGGAAGCCGGGCACCGCGTCATTACACAGCGGCCGGCTTCCTGATTGGTAAGCTTCCCATGTCAATCAGGAAGCCGGGCACCGCGTCATTACACAGCGGCCGGCTTCCTGATTGGTAAGCTTCCCATGTCAATCAGGAAGCCGGGCACCGCGTCATTACACAGCGGCCGGCTTCCTGATTGGTAAGCTTCCCATGTCAATCAGGAAGCCGGGCACCGCGTCATTACACAGCGGCCGGCTTCCTGATTGGTAAGCTTCCCATGTCAATCAGGAAGCCGGGCACCGCGTCATTACACAGCGGCCGGCTTCCTGATTGGTAAGCTTCCCATGTCAATCAGGAAGCCGGGCACCGCGTCATTACACAGCGGCCGGCTTCCTGATTGGTAAGCTTCCCATGTCAATCAGGAAGCCGGGCACCGCGTCATTACACAGCGGCCGGCTTCCTGATTGGTAAGCTTCCCATGTCAATCAGGAAGCCGGGCACCGCGTCATTACACAGCGGCCGGCTTCCTGATTGGTAAGCTTCCCATGTCAATCAGGAAGCCGGGCACCGCGTCATTACACAGCGGCCGGCTTCCTGATTGGTAAGCTTCCCATGTCAATCAGGAAGCCGGGCACCGCGTCATTACACAGCGGCCGGCTTCCTGATTGGTAAGCTTCCCATGTCAATCAGGAAGCCGGGCACCGCGTCATTACACAGCGGCCGGCTTCCTGATTGGTAAGCTTCCCATGTCAATCAGGAAGCCGGGCACCGCGTCATTACACAGCGGCCGGCTTCCTGATTGGTAAGCTTCCCATGTCAATCAGGAAGCCGGGCACCGCGTCATTACACAGCGGCCGGCTTCCTGATTGGTAAGCTTCCCATGTCAATCAGGAAGCCGGGCACCGCGTCATTACACAGCGGCCGGCTTCCTGATTGGTAAGCTTCCCATGTCAATCAGGAAGCCGGGCACCGCGTCATTACACAGCGGCCGGCTTCCTGATTGGTAAGCTTCCCATGTCAATCAGGAAGCCGGGCACCGCGTCATTACACAGCGGCCGGCTTCCTGATTGGTAAGCTTCCCATGTCAATCAGGAAGCCGGGCACCGCGTCATTACACAGCGGCCGGCTTCCTGATTGGTAAGCTTCCCATGTCAATCAGGAAGCCGGGCACCGCGTCATTACACAGCGGCCGGCTTCCTGATTGGTAAGCTTCCCATGTCAATCAGGAAGCCGGGCACCGCGTCATTACACAGCGGCCGGCTTCCTGATTGGTAAGCTTCCCATGTCAATCAGGAAGCCGGGCACCGCGTCATTACACAGCGGCCGGCTTCCTGATTGGTAAGCTTCCCATGTCAATCAGGAAGCCGGGCACCGCGTCATTACACAGCGGCCGGCTTCCTGATTGGTAAGCTTCCCATGTCAATCAGGAAGCCGGGCACCGCGTCATTACACAGCGGCCGGCTTCCTGATTGGTAAGCTTCCCATGTCAATCAGGAAGCCGGGCACCGCGTCATTACACAGCGGCCGGCTTCCTGATTGGTAAGCTTCCCATGTCAATCAGGAAGCCGGGCACCGCGTCATTACACAGCGGCCGGCTTCCTGATTGGTAAGCTTCCCATGTCAATCAGGAAGCCGGGCACCGCGTCATTACACAGCGGCCGGCTTCCTGATTGGTAAGCTTCCCATGTCAATCAGGAAGCCGGGCACCGCGTCATTACACAGCGGCCGGCTTCCTGATTGGTAAGCTTCCCATGTCAATCAGGAAGCCGGGCACCGCGTCATTACACAGCGGCCGGCTTCCTGATTGGTAAGCTTCCCATGTCAATCAGGAAGCCGGGCACCGCGTCATTACACAGCGGCCGGCTTCCTGATTGGTAAGCTTCCCATGTCAATCAGGAAGCCGGGCACCGCGTCATTACACAGCGGCCGGCTTCCTGATTGGTAAGCTTCCCATGTCAATCAGGAAGCCGGGCACCGCGTCATTACACAGCGGCCGGCTTCCTGATTGGTAAGCTTCCCATGTCAATCAGGAAGCCGGGCACCGCGTCATTACACAGCGGCCGGCTTCCTGATTGGTAAGCTTCCCATGTCAATCAGGAAGCCGGGCACCGCGTCATTACACAGCGGCCGGCTTCCTGATTGGTAAGCTTCCCATGTCAATCAGGAAGCCGGGCACCGCGTCATTACACAGCGGCCGGCTTCCTGATTGGTAAGCTTCCCATGTCAATCAGGAAGCCGGGCACCGCGTCATTACACAGCGGCCGGCTTCCTGATTGGTAAGCTTCCCATGTCAATCAGGAAGCCGGGCACCGCGTCATTACACAGCGGCCGGCTTCCTGATTGGTAAGCTTCCCATGTCAATCAGGAAGCCGGGCACCGCGTCATTACACAGCGGCCGGCTTCCTGATTGGTAAGCTTCCCATGTCAATCAGGAAGCCGGGCACCGCGTCATTACACAGCGGCCGGCTTCCTGATTGGTAAGCTTCCCATGTCAATCAGGAAGCCGGGCACCGCGTCATTACACAGCGGCCGGCTTCCTGATTGGTAAGCTTCCCATGTCAATCAGGAAGCCGGGCACCGCGTCATTACACAGCGGCCGGCTTCCTGATTGGTAAGCTTCCCATGTCAATCAGGAAGCCGGGCACCGCGTCATTACACAGCGGCCGGCTTCCTGATTGGTAAGCTTCCCATGTCAATCAGGAAGCCGGGCACCGCGTCATTACACAGCGGCCGGCTTCCTGATTGGTAAGCTTCCCATGTCAATCAGGAAGCCGGGCACCGCGTCATTACACAGCGGCCGGCTTCCTGATTGGTAAGCTTCCCATGTCAATCAGGAAGCCGGGCACCGCGTCATTACACAGCGGCCGGCTTCCTGATTGGTAAGCTTCCCATGTCAATCAGGAAGCCGGGCACCGCGTCATTACACAGCGGCCGGCTTCCTGATTGGTAAGCTTCCCATGTCAATCAGGAAGCCGGGCACCGCGTCATTACACAGCGGCCGGCTTCCTGATTGGTAAGCTTCCCATGTCAATCAGGAAGCCGGGCACCGCGTCATTACACAGCGGCCGGCTTCCTGATTGGTAAGCTTCCCATGTCAATCAGGAAGCCGGGCACCGCGTCATTACACAGCGGCCGGCTTCCTGATTGGTAAGCTTCCCATGTCAATCAGGAAGCCGGGCACCGCGTCATTACACAGCGGCCGGCTTCCTGATTGGTAAGCTTCCCATGTCAATCAGGAAGCCGGGCACCGCGTCATTACACAGCGGCCGGCTTCCTGATTGGTAAGCTTCCCATGTCAATCAGGAAGCCGGGCACCGCGTCATTACACAGCGGCCGGCTTCCTGATTGGTAAGCTTCCCATGTCAATCAGGAAGCCGGGCACCGCGTCATTACACAGCGGCCGGCTTCCTGATTGGTAAGCTTCCCATGTCAATCAGGAAGCCGGGCACCGCGTCATTACACAGCGGCCGGCTTCCTGATTGGTAAGCTTCCCATGTCAATCAGGAAGCCGGGCACCGCGTCATTACACAGCGGCCGGCTTCCTGATTGGTAAGCTTCCCATGTCAATCAGGAAGCCGGGCACCGCGTCATTACACAGCGGCCGGCTTCCTGATTGGTAAGCTTCCCATGTCAATCAGGAAGCCGGGCACCGCGTCATTACACAGCGGCCGGCTTCCTGATTGGTAAGCTTCCCATGTCAATCAGGAAGCCGGGCACCGCGTCATTACACAGCGGCCGGCTTCCTGATTGGTAAGCTTCCCATGTCAATCAGGAAGCCGGGCACCGCGTCATTACACAGCGGCCGGCTTCCTGATTGGTAAGCTTCCCATGTCAATCAGGAAGCCGGGCACCGCGTCATTACACAGCGGCCGGCTTCCTGATTGGTAAGCTTCCCATGTCAATCAGGAAGCCGGGCACCGCGTCATTACACAGCGGCCGGCTTCCTGATTGGTAAGCTTCCCATGTCAATCAGGAAGCCGGGCACCGCGTCATTACACAGCGGCCGGCTTCCTGATTGGTAAGCTTCCCATGTCAATCAGGAAGCCGGGCACCGCGTCATTACACAGCGGCCGGCTTCCTGATTGGTAAGCTTCCCAGGCCAATCAGGAAGCCGGGCAGCGCGTCATTACACAGCGGCCGGCTTCCTGATTGGTAAGCTTCCCAGGCCAATCAGAAAGCCGGGCAGCGTGTCATTACACGCTGCCCGGCTTCCTGATTGGCCGGGCAGCCGTCTTCATGATCTCTTGTCACAAGTGACGTGGGAGCATGGACCCGGCTTCCCGGCCAATCAGGAAGCTGTGCAGCGTGTAAAGACAATCCTGGAAGTATCAGGCTAGGCATCGGAGCATTTGGGCGAGTACTCATACTCGCCGAAATACTCGGCATCGGCACCAATACTAGTATCGGTATCGGTGCATCCCTAGCTATGAATGTTTGATTATCAAGACCACAATTCTAAGGGCAGGTTCCCACCGTTTTCCGGACCAGACCTGGTCCAGATTAGGTCTAGAAAATGGTGTGAACCAGCACGCAGTTTCAGTGCATTCCAGACCAGACAAAATGAGACATGCGTTATTTCTCTGGTCTGGAACGGACTGCGCTGGTGTGAACAGAGAAATAGCAGAGGGACACATTAGAATGCATTGTGGTCCGGAAACAATCTGGTCTGGTGATGACCTGGATGTGGTGTGAATGGGCCCTCGATGTAGAAGTTTTAAGTAGTCATGGACAACAGTGAGATGGCTTGATAACAAAAATGTTTTAGGCCCTTTGGCAACCTGGCTCCTGAGCTTTGTCTGGCGCTGCAGTAAAGGAAGTCTCATCACAAATGCTAGTTGCTTGTACAGCTGCATGCGGGTCCACGTTATATGACAAGTTCAAATGCAAATGGAATTTTTTTTCTTAAAGGAGAACTATGAGGTCAGTGTTTTTCCCCATAGTTCTCCTTAGGGTAACAGGAGTACACAAACTAGCGTCCTCCCGTCACCCTAAGCTCAGTATATAGAGAGCTACAGCTCGCGGTATACTGAGACGCTGCAGCGGATCCCGACTTAGACGACGGGATCCGCCCAGCTGCGTGAGTGACAGCTGGCTC